CAGACCCATAGTCTCCCTACCAGGCACTCCGTCGCACAGATTAGCAGAGAACTACAAAGAAGACTCAAGCACCTAGTCAACAAATCACCCCACTCCATCCACTCAGCCCAAGAATTCCTCAACTCAATCAAAGACATAAAGATAGAGGACGAAGAGACCATGATATCGTTTGATGTCACCGCCCTATTCACATCAATAGACATACCACTAGCAAGGGAAACAGTGACGACGCTACTTGAACAAGAATGCGACCCCAGTGAAACCATCTCCAAGGACAACATGCTTAAATTACTGGACCTATGCCTGACCACCCACTTCACCTTCAACGGCCAAACATACGAGCAAATCAACGGGACTCCCATGGGATCACCTATCTCCGGACTCATAGCAGAGGCAGTGATGCAAAGACTGGAAAGGACCGCCCTTCCGCAAATCCAACCTAAACTGTGGATACACTACGTAGATGACACCTTTGTCATCATTAAATGAACCAAATTAGAAGAGACACACAAACTCATAAACAACACCCTCACCAGAATAAAATTCACCAGAGAGGAGGAGAAGAACAAACAACTCCCATTCCTGGACGTCATGGTAAAGCGCAAGACAAATGGGGAACTGCAAATGAAAGTACACCGAAAAGCCACACACGGACCAGGTATTGGACTTCAATAGTAACCATCCCAGCACACACAAACGAAGCTGCGTGCGAACACTATTTAAAAGGGCAACATCACACTGCGGTAACATGGAACTATGCCAAGAGGAGGAGGAATACCTCTTCCAAGTGTTCAAGGATAATGGAAATCCAAAGAACTGGGTCAGGAGATGCCTACAGGAACAGCTTCAGAAAGATTCTACACGCCCCGACACACTCATCACACTACCCTACATCAGGAACATGTCAGAACTCCCCACAAGACTCCTACGACCACTAGGCATCAGAATGGCACACAAGCCCACGTCAACCCTACGAAAAGTGCTCAGCCGATCTAAAGACCCACTCCCCGCCATGGACAGGACCAATGGCATCTACAAGATCCCCTGCAGAGACTGCAAGAAACACTGCATCGGACAAACAGGAAGGAAACTAACAACAAGAGTACGTGAACACCAACTGGCTACAAAAAGACAGGACCAATACTCACTCATCTCAATCCACATGGACAAGGAGAACCACCACTTCAACTGGGTCAACACCAAGATCCTGGGACAGGCTAGGCAGAGACAAGCACGAGAATTCCTGGAAGTATGGCACTCCACAAAGCACGCTATTAATAAACACATTGAACTCAACCCCATATACATTCCACTACGGAGGAAACCCGGAAGTGAGGCAATCCATCGCAATGGACCCCAGAGTTTAAAAACCAGGTGGGAAAACACACCGACGCTTCTTCAGAGGCTGCACTGAGGATGTTACCAAGCACGGTAACGAAACGTCTGCGGAACAACAAACCAGCTTGGCAAGCCAACTGACCTCAACATTTATACTGTCCGGTATATTAGCTTGGATAGAGGATTGACTAACCAATAGAAAACAGTTGCAATGCAAGAGGCATTTTCAAGATGGCAACCTATATCTCGTGGAGTGCCTCACGAATCTGTACTAGGGCTACAATTATTTACAATATACCTTAATGGCTTGGATGGCAGAAGTGAATGTGCTATAGCCAAGTTTGCAAATGACACAAATAAGTGGGAAGGCCAGTCATAGGATGACACCCAGTCTACAGAGGGATATAAGCAGTGTGAGCGAATGAGCAAAATCTTGGCAGATGGAATATAGTGTGAGAAAATGTGAGGTTATGTATTTTGGCAGGAAGAAGAGAGCTGAATGTTACTTAAATGGAGAAAGACTACAGGAGGCTGCAGTACAGATAGATTTCTGGATTTTCCGCATGAATCGTAACAGGCCAACATTAAACTTGTGGTGGGTAATAGGGAAGACAAATGGAATGTTGACCTTTATTTCAAAGATAATGGAACATTAAAATAGGGAAGTCTTGCTAAAACTGTGCAAGGCACTGGTCAGATCACAATTAGAATGCTATGAACAGTTTTTGTCCACCTATTTAAGGAAAGATACTTGGTATTTGTGGCAGTCCAGAAAAGGTTCACGAGGTTGATCCTGAGTATGGAGGATTGTCTTATGAGCAGAGGTTGAGAAGGTTATGTTTACACTCATTGGAGCTTTGTGGAATAAGAGGTAACCTTGTGAAATAGTCTAAGACCAGAGGACATAATCTCAGTAATGAGTTGCCTCTAAGATAGAGATAAGGAGAAATTTCCTCATTTGAGGGTAGTGAATCTGTGGAGTTCTTTATCATAGAGGCTCATTTAAGAATCATTAAGAATATTCAATTCTGAAATAGGCAGAGTTTTAATCAATAAAGAATCAAAGATTATGGGGAAGAGGCTGGAATGTGGAGTTGAGGATTATCAAATTATATGTACTGTGAAGAAGGTGCAAAGTGACTTCAAGAAAATTTGGATACTTAATGAATAGCCAAAAAACATGACAGCTTTAATATGCTGGGGGAAAATGAGCTTTTCCACTATGATGGTATACGGAGCATTTCTTAAATGTTAAGAGATTGGAAAGTGTAGATGTGTAAAGAGACCTGGAATTCTTTGCCAACAGGTCACCTGAAGTCTAATATGCAGGTGCAGCAAAAATATTAGGAAGACTAATAATATGTTAGCCTTTACTCAGAAGAGGATTTGAGTATACCAGTAACAAAATCTTGCTTTAGTTGTATCAAACTTGGGTTGACCCCATGTGGAATTGTATGTGCAGTTTTAGTTCCTTTACCTTAGAAGGATATTATTGCCATAATGCGAGTTTGCCAGAATTGTTCCTGGGATGCCAGGACTGTCCAATGAAAAGAGATCAGGGAAACTGGGCCTGAAGTCTCTGGAGCTTTGAAGACTGAGAAGTGATCTCATTGAAACCTACAAAATACTTAGAGAAGCTCAGGATAGGTGCAAGTAAGATGTTTCCCTCAGTTTGGGAGTCTAAAATCAGGGAACACAATTTCAAGACAGGAATGAAGTCACTAAAGTTTGAGATGAAGAGAAATTTATTTTACTCAGCATTGTGAACCTTTAGAATTCTCTACCATAAAAGACTGCAGAAGCTTAGTAACTGAGTATGTTTAACAAAGGGATCAACAGCTTTCTAAATACTACGAATGTAAAAGAATAGGGGTATAGTGTGAAAAAACGATTTAAAATAGTTAATAACCAATGTCCTATGGAATGACGGAGCAAGTTCAGCAGGCTAAATTGCCTGCTTATGCCCTTTTTTTTTATTCCTGTGTTCTCTCTGGTGACCCCACAAAAACTTCTGCCTCACTTTGATAGTCATTGATTTGTAGGGAAGCCTGTAACCTTATCTCAAAAGTAGCACCCCTGCATTCTTCGTGGTAATAATAAGTATGTTAGCCCGGAATCCATTCATTATCACCTTAGAAGTAAATAGATAGTTTATAGTACTAATGTTTAGATTTTTTTTCAAATAACCCTGTTCCGATGTATGTTGCACCTCTGAAGCAAGTGAGACTTGAATATGGACCTTTTGGCTCAGAGGCAGGGACACTACTACTGTGCCATAAGAGCCCTCACTAATGTTTATAACCTGATACTATCAATACCTTTCTGGGACTTTAGGAGGTTCAGAGGCTACCCACTGTGAACTTGGCAATGCTGTTTTCGTCTCCAACTATTTATTCCTCACACTCACCCTAGTAACAAAATATGGGCCTCACTTTGATCTTTAACTGCTTCAGGCCTGTTGCCAGTGGGTATTAGCATAAGTAACAAAAAACCCCATCATTTTACCCTAAATTCAATAAGACATTTGCAATAACCTGGTTTGTTTTGTAATATATTTTAATAGAGTGAAAACCATTTTAAACAAAATACAGTGTCCTAAGTTTTATAGACCGTTTTAAATTAATTGATGAAATGCATGTTGGCCAGATCAGATGCACACCAATAATATGCTAAACAGGAAATCTCACACTTGGGATGTGCACAAATCAAATTGTGCGCACACATCGGTACACACTTTTTGTTTTTTGAAATGGCCACAAATTGTTAGTGTTTGATATTCATGATATTTTTCAAATTTAGCAAAGTAGGCTAATGTGTCAAACTAGGAATGTTTAAAATTTAGCTCCATATACATATGGGATTAATTGTTTTGAGTCTTGAAATCTATTTCCTGTTTTCAGCTAATAACGTCTATTTACTTTTTTGTTCTGTACATTTTTTTAAAAGGAGACATTTGCTCTCTGTGCTAAATTAAAACCAACTCGTGAGTTGCTAATGATAAGTCATGTTTTCTCATGGCCATGTTGTATTACTGTTATATTTTTTGCTGACACAGAAGGTCCTGCAGTGTTTCACAATATTAGTTTCCATCTTTTCTTTCTGCAACAGTGTTTTTTACTGGTGAATAGAAATGTTTACAAATGTAAACAATTGCACCAAGCAAAGTTAAGATTAATTCAGCTTCACATATACATGCTATCACTTCAGAACTATGAGATGAGTGTGTTCGCTTGATCTTTGGACAGAAAATGAGAAACAGATTTAAGATTCAACCAGTGTTCCTAATGTGGGAAATGGAGTCTGTTAAATATAATGTATGTGTTCATGCTCATTATATTCAAAAACTTTTTTTATTCATTTGTGGGATTTGGGCGTCGCTGGTTAGCCAGCATTTCTTGCCCATCCCTAGTTGCCCTTGAGAAGGTGGTGGTGAGCTGCCTTTTTGAACCACTGCAGTCTATATTATGGTCATAGAAATGTAAAATTCAACCACAAAAAGTTATTGATCTTCACTATTTTTTGAAACTTTTCTGAACTCTTCCATATAATCTGTAACAACACCTTTTAACAGATATGATTTCTATGTTTGGATGCATATGACAAGTAAAATGCTTTTATTCTTGGCTTTTGTGAAAAACCCCAAAATGTGCTTTGCTTTGCAGCTATCGACATGTGGTCTGCAGGCGTCGTCTTTCTCTCCTTGCTGAGTGCCCGATACCCATTTTTCAAAGCCAGTGATGATTTGACTGCTTTGGCACAGATCATGGCTATCCGTGGATCGAAGGAAACCATTCAGGCTGCTAAATCATTTGGTATGGAACATGTCCTTTTAAAAGTCAATTGAAAAAGATCTGGCTTGTCTGTTTCCAATAATGTTTCAAGATTATTAAGACTTTTTTTTAAATGCCCAATACTTCATGAGAATGTTTGTTTGTTTTGCTTTGATTTAGATATTATTGTCACGTGAACTCAAGTATAGGTATACAGGAGTACAGTGAAAAGTGTACAAAAGTGCCAGGATAATGGTGACATCTTGGTTACACACTTGAGTACAAAGCTGGAATAAAAACGGCAACAGACATAAAGGAAACAAAGCCAAAACGAATGAGAAACGTCCAGATATTAAGTCTTGTTTGAGTCTTATCTGCATGCAAGCCCCCAGGCCAAGCCACAGCCTGGAGCCTTGGGAGGAGCTGAGTGTTTGCTGCCGTTGACGCTACCATCTCCAGTCTCCTCCTTGTCACAGACCATGTTCAAGTATATTTGAACATGGCGCAGATTTTTTTTTTACATCTTTGAATATCTTCCGGTATATATGCACCAATTATTCTCTCCATGTTACTTAAATTGGAACAAGTAAAAACTCCATAGAGATAAATTTAATGTTTTCGATAGGAGTTGCACACAATTTTGCCATTCAGAATTCTGATTTCAAGTTGTGTGTATTATTTTATGGGTGGAATTGTATGACTGGCCAATATAAGATGAAAGCCAGAAGCATTTTGCTGAACCAAGTTGTTTACTAGAAGTGGTATCTTGAATAACCTGTAATAATTTAATTTGTAGTACACAAATTGATATCAGTCCTGAAAAATATCTTTATATCAGATGGTAATCCTATAGGCTGATTATTGGGAACTCTCTAATTGGATTGTTAAATGAAGAGAAAGCTGTTAAAATACAGGCTAAACATGTAATTGGAATAACGAGAGTTGAAGTATCTAACCACTGATTAATTCTTCTCATAATAAAATATCGGAGAGAAGGGGTAAGAAATACTTTTTTTAACATTGATGAAAGCAAAAACTCAAGATACGTAGATTAGAAACAGAAACCAAAGAATTTGGAATTTTAAAAAAAGGTGAAACCATAATGGGGTAAAATAAAGAATGGAAGCTAACATGTTAATATTAAATATCAAGGCACCCAATGATTCAGTAATAAGTAGATGTCCTGTGCGGTCTAGTATTGAATCAGGCACAAGGAAGAAAAGAGCAAAAAAAATGTTGATGTTGTGAGATGAATTTAAAAAGTACAAGAGGAAGTTTGTGTGGAGTACAAATGAAGGCCAAATGATGTGTTTCTCTGCTACAAATTCTCTTTATATTATGGTGATGGGGAGGCAATGGCCGTAGTGGTATTATCGCTGGACCGTTGATCCAGAGACCCAGATAATGTTCTGGGGACCTGGGTTCGAATCCTGCCATGGCAGATGGTGGAATTTGAATTCAATAAAAAAAAGGTCTGGAATTAAAAGTCTAATGATGACAATGAATCAGTTGATTGACAGAAAAACCCATCTGATTCACGAATGCCCTTTAGGAAAGGAAACTGCCATCCTTACCCGGTCTGGCCTACATGTGATTCCAGACCCACAGCAATGTGGTTGACTTTTAACTGCCCTCTAGGCAATTAGGGATGGGCAATAAATGCTGCCTAGCCAGCGATGCCCTCTACCCGTAATAAATAAATGAATGAATGAATTTAAAAAAGTCCCAAAATACTAAGTTAACTAAGTTCAGCCAGGCTGAGTTTGAGCATATTAAAGTCAACTGTCATGAACTCGAATAAGAAAACTAGTGAGGTTTACATGGCTGATGGTTGTTAGCTTGTGGAAATGGGGAAAATTCATAATCAAACCAGGCCTTGATGCCTCAGCAATCAAATCTGGCCATAATTTTTAAATTTAAGTACAAGAAATAGACTGTTGGTTGTTTTTAAAATGCTGCCAGTGCTTAAGAAAATCTACCGCTACATGAGTCATCATTTTCAAGAATGATTGATTGTAAAGAACTACATGGAAGGATTATAGAATTAATGTTCTGCCAACAAAAGTTAGTAATACAGTTGCTCAGCAGGTTGAAACTTCACACATCTGATATGCACCTGTAGGAAGAGGTTCCAGCTTTGTTTCTCTGGGAACAAGCTAATTAGAGGAATGCACTTCTCTGAAGCACAAAGGAGTCACTTGGCATTGGCCACACCCTTTGTATCTACCGCAGCTCAATGCAAGGCAACCAAAATGAATGATTTGAAGAGCAATAAAAATAACCTGTAAAATAAAGCTAGTTATTTCATTTTGAGAGAGAAATGATCGTTGGCAATATATTCTTTTCAAAAAGACAAGTCATTGGAGTCACATTGATCAGTGGTACAAAAACCGCAATTAGATTTCTCAAACCTTTTTCACAGCTCTGAAAGGCTGAAGAATTTGCTAAGAATACTAGACTGGAAAGTTTGACTGCAAGATGCTCTGCATCACAGCATTTAATATTATAAAACTGACCAGACATATTTCTGATGTAGCCAAAAATCATCATAGTTAAATATGCGGGGGGTAGTTGTGTGAGACAGCACATAAATTGGCTGGAAAACTCAAAAACATGTTGTGCTTTAAGTGTTTTTTTTTTCCCTTGAGTTCATTCAAAGGAAATGTTCGTATGTGCCCTTTTTATATTTTTAAGAACTTTCACTAATGACCATATGTGTTCCATGTTTGAATCACTTGAAACTGTCATTCACAAGTTAATGCTGGTTCATTTTGTGCAATATACTAAATGCACTTTTAATTTTGTAAGCATTTGTACAAAACTGTTCGATGCAGCTTAGCTGTGATTTTACTAGCAAGGCTCATTTAGGTTTTGTTACAGACAGACATGTCTTGTTTATTCAAAAAGTTCCAAGGAGTGATTGGTCTTTGAGTTAGTATGCTCCCTTTTCAAATCCATACCAAGGAACTTTCTCATTGCCAAATGTGATCATCCTGTCTGTAATGACTTTTGCCCAGTTTGACGTAGTTCCTAGCGGGTGCATTAACATGTTTTGTTAATTATACAATTCTAAGCCATTGCCAGTGCACACAGCACAGTGCCCACGGGCTCTTTTGTTGCCAGATGCCCCATTTGAAAGGACTTTCAGATAATGTAATGCAGTTTCAAATGGATGAAATCTTGCAGCAGAATAGAATTGAAAAGCAGAGGGGCTATTTTAAGCTTATGTTAAAAAGATTTACCAAGACAATACCAAAACTAAGTGCTTATTTAATATCAAAATCAGAACAGGTTGGGCCCTCCGATCTCAGAAAACACTGACTGTTACCTGATAAGCCTTTAAAATTACAAAATAATGTGATCAAATCTGTAGAAATTTGGAAAGTTCAAAAACTAGAGGAGTCAAATATAAGTTGTTCACTAATGAATTCAGTAAAAAATCCAGGAGAAATCTTTTCCTTTGAGAGGATTGGAATGTGGAGCCTTCTATTGTTTGAAGAATTGAGGCAAACAACATGGATGCATTTCAGAGATAGTTAAATTACCACAAAAGAAAGGAATATTCTGATAGAATTAAATAAAGTAGGATTTGAGGAGGCATAAGTGGAAGATACACTAGCATGTATCAACTGGGTTGATTGATTAGTTTGAGTTAGAAAGTTTCTGTTTTTAAAAGACTTTTTAAAAACTCTCTCCATATTTCAGGAATGTTATGCTCTCCAATGAGAGCTGGTGAATGGGAAAGTTTTGAGAAAGAGGGGTGAGGTCCTGAAAGTAGATTTTGGGGAATTAGTAAGGTAAAGAAAAAGAAAATTTCATGAGTCACAATCTCAGCAATAAACCCTGTGCCATGTACTTGTGAGCATAGGCATAGGAGATATGATTGATTGACTATGCAGCTGGAGAACTGTGGGAGGGAGACCATCAGTTTTCTGAGGCATTGGGTCTGGATCTAGCGATGATGTTGTATTGATAATAAGGGATGGGATGTTCTCTGATCAAAATGTTGAATCTGTTTGAAGCTAAGAAACAGCAACAAATAGTAAACATTGGTTATTGTTGTTTATAGGGCACCAAATAGTAGTGGTAATGGAGAGCAAGCAGAGACATTGTGTGGAAAAATTAACGGAACTGAAAATTGATAACTCCCTCGGACCTGATATTCTTTTCAAAATGTTGAAAACGATGGTGGATGCATTAATGGTCATCCTCCAAAATTCTTTAAATTCTGGAATGTTCCTGCAGATTAGAAACTAGCAAACGTCACCGCACTATTTAAGAAGGGAATGAGAGAGAAAATTGGGAGCTTGCACATCAGTTGACCTTGCATCAGTAGTAGGGAAAAAGCTAAAATCTAAGAAGGATGTAAGGTATGGACACTTGGATAGTAAATTGGGCATAGTCAGCATGGATTTGCAAATGGTAAATGAACAATCCTGTTGGGAGATTTTTTGAGGATGTTGAGAATTGAGAAAATCAGTCGAGGCAGGATACTTGGAGTATCAAGGGCTTTTGATAAAGTCACTCTTGACAGGTGGTCAGCAAAATTACATCACATGGTAACGTGCTGGCATGTATTAAAGATTGGTTATCAGGCTGAAAACAGGATCAGAACAAAAGGGTCATGCTCTCATTGGCATGCTGTCACTAGTGGGATGTTGAAAGGCCCCAGCTGTTCACAATAGATAACTGCTTGAATGTGGGGAATCAAATGTAATGTTTACAGGTTTGCAGATAACACCAAGCTAGGTGGGAATGTGTGCTGTGAGGAAAATGCACAACAGCTTCCAGAGGATTTGAAAAGACTTGGTGATTGAACATGATTATGGTGGATGGAATATCATGTGGAAAAATGAGAGGTTGTCTATTCTGATAGGAAGAACAGGTGTGCATAGTGTTTCTTAAATGGTAAGAGGTTAGAAAATATAGGTTTACAATGGGATCTGGGCATCCTTGTTAATAAGCCACTTAGGGCTAACGTGCAAGTAAAACAAGCAATTAGGAAGGCTAATGATATAATTCACCCTTAGAGAAAGAAGATTTGTGTATAGTCGTAATGAAGTCTTGCTTTAATTTTGTAGAACTTTGGTTAGAATGCAACTGGGGTACTGTCTGGAGTTTTAGTCCCCTACCTTAGAAAGGATATTATTGCTATTGAGGGAACGCCACAAAAGTTCACCTGACTTCTTTCTGAGATGACAAGACTGTTCTCTAAAGTGTGATTAGGAAAACTGAGCCTGTGCTAACTACAAAAGAAGGTGATCTAATTAACACTTGCACGATACTTAAAGGGTTAGATGAGGAAGGTACAGATAAGATATTTGCCCGGTTATAGAGTCTCCAGCGTGGATTCATTTTCAGAATAAAGGGAAGGGCCACTCTACGACTGAGATGAGGAGAAATCTTTTTAACTCAGGGTTGTGAACTTTTGGAATTCTCTACACCAGAGGGCTGTGGAAGCTCAGTCATTGAGCAAGTTTAAAGTAAAGATTGACCGCTTTCTAAATACCAATGTTGTAAAGAGATGTGGGGATATTGGTGTGAATGGCATTGAAGTGATAAATTGCCACAGTCCTACTGAATAATAACAGGCTCAATGGGCTAAATGGCCTACTCCTATGTTTATCTTGCCATTGACTGGCCTATACCAGAAGTGCTGTACGTCACTGAAATGGATACTATTTGAATATGGAGCAATATTAACATACAATGGAAAGGTATATTCAGAGTAGCAGGGCAGAAGAGAATAAAAGTACCGTGGAACAACTAGCATTCAAATGAGACTGATAATGTAGAGAACCTAACAGGAATAGCTTAATTGATTTCCTGGGAAGTGCTGTTAACCACAAGAATGTAAGAACTAAGTTCTCGACACTAAAAACTCTGCTGCTCCCAAGTTAGTCGTATACGGGTGCAGAAAATGTCACATTTTCAAGGTACAATTGTTGAACTGCATCCATGTCTCTTCACAGATTTGGAGTTCACTTAGTGAGAGCTTGGGGCAGCGCGATGGCTCGGTGGTTAAGCACTGCTGCCTCATAGCGCCGGAGACCCAGGTTCAATTCCACCCTCGGGTGACTGTCTGTGGGGGGTGCATGTTCTCCCCGTGTCAGTGTGGGTTTCCTCCAGGTACTCTGGTTCCCTCCCACAATCCAAAGATGTGCAGGTTAGGTGGATTGGCAGTGCTAAATTGCCCATACTGTCCAGGGACATGCTGGTTGGGTGGGATACCCTTCAATGGGTTAGAGTGGGCTTGATGGGCTGAATGGCCTGCTTCCACACTGTAGGGATTTTATGATTCTGATTCTAAGCTTAGGCTCAAGAATTATAGGCTTGGACTCAAGAATGCTGCAGGAGCTGAATGTGTACCCATGTTGTGTAAGTATGTACACAGATCAGAACTGCGGCCTACTTTGTTATTGGTTAGAAATTGGAATCACTTGTGGCCTCAATAGAACCTGAACAACTGATTTCCTAGAAATAGAAACAGAAAATAGGAGCAGGAGTAGGCTATTCAGGCCTTCAAGTCTGCTTTGCCATTTAGTACAATCATGGCTGATGATCCAACTCCGGAAATGGCTTCACCCAATATTCTTTTGATTGCTTTAGTGTTAGAAAATGTCTTTGACTCCTCGTTGAAACCATTCAGTGTTTTGGCCTTGGCTGATTCTGTTGCAGAGAATTCCACAGGCTCTGGGTAGAGAAATTTCTCCTCCTCTTAATCCTAATGGCCTACCCCATGTCCTTAGACTGTGACTCCTGGTTCTGGGCTCCCTGGTCATGGCGATCTCCTTCTCGCGTTTACCCTATCTAGTCCCATTAGAATTTTATGGGTTTTAAGGAGATCACTCTTTATTCTTCTAAACTCCAGTGAATACAATCCTAACCAATCTTCATGTGCTAACCCAGGAATCAGTCTGGTAAAGCTTCATTGCCAGAACATCGTTCCTAAGGTAAAGAGACGAAAACTGAGCATAATGCTCTAGGTATGGTCTTGCCAAGGCCCTGTACAGTTGCAACAAGACATGCCTGCTCCTGTACTCGCAACCTCCTACTATAAGGTCAACGTAGCATTTGCTTTCTTCATTGCCGGTTGCACTTGTATGCTTACTTTCAGGGACTGATGTATAACGACACCAGGAATTGTTGCACCTCCATCTTTCCTAATTGCCATTCAGATAACTGCTGATTGTAAACGACTGGCATCTTTTTCCCTTCACATACTTGTAAAAGCTTTTCCAATCAGTTTGTTCCCTGCAAACTTCTATCTTTCCTCTCTCCGTCAATCCCTTTGTCCTCATTTGCTGGTATCTAAACTGCTTCCCAATCCTTCACCCTGCTTTTTGGCCAATTTATATGTCCTTTCCTTGGATCTGATAATATCCCTAATTTCCCTAGTTAGTCATGGTTGGGCCACCTTTCCGCTTTTTGAGCCAGACTGGAATTAACAGTTGTTGTAGTTCCTCCATGCACTCTTTAAATGTTTGTCATTGCCTGTCCACAGTCATTCATTCAAGTAACTTTCCCATGCGCCTCATACGATTGTAGTTTCCTTTTATTTAAATTTAGGACCACAGCCTCAGAATCAACTGCATCAATGTCCACCATAATGAAGAATTCAATCTCCTCCCCCAAGGGATCTTGAACAACTCGATTTGCCAATTATTCCTTTCTGATTGCACAATATCCAGTCCAATTTGGTGTGTTTTCTAATTGGCTCGTCAACGTTTTGATCCAGAAAGCCACACTTCAGGAATTCCTCCTCTGTCAATCTTATTGATTTTCCCAATCTATTTACAGATTGAATTGGTCCGTAATCACAACTGTACCTTTTATTGCTTGTGTGCTAAATGTCTTCCCCAATGTTACCATCACAGATGTTAAACAGAGCCTCTTTTTGTTTTTGCTGACGCAAAAGTAGAAATGTGACTGATCCATGAACAGGCATGCTTACTTGTAGCAAAAACCAAGTTGCTGGAAAAGCTCAGCACGTCTGGCAGCATCTGTGAAGGAAAAAACAGTTAACGTTTCGGGTCTGGTGACCCTTCCTCAGA